AGTCTGATTGCACAACCTCCTCATTACAAAATTGGATGATTCTGGAAGACTTCACATCACATTAAGCAGCTGTCATATAGTTGCAACATGTCTAATCTTGAAAAAAAGTTTATTATTAATTTATTATTATTATTTATTATGTGTAACTAGTACTTCCAGGGTAGGAGGCTTGCTAGTCGAGTATTGCTGGAGGGTTTCTAGAGTGTTCTGGGTTGGTTGCAAGGGTATTGCTAAGTGGTTGCTGGGGTGTTGTTGGTGGTTGCTAGGTGGATGCTTGGGTCAAAAGAGCCCACCCCAAAATCTCTACGATATTAAACATGACTTGGGTTCCTACTTCACTGTAAGTCTATTGTATTTTTTTTGGACATTTGGCAGGAAATTTGCTAAAATTGTAGGCCATTTTCTTTAGAAACATAAAGAACAAATCACGAACAGTAAATATAAACAATAATAACACTTGCCTTTTATACGTGTAATCTCTGTACTTATATATTGGAAGAAGTAGATTCAGTGGCACGGTACACAACATACTACTTATGTAACAGTGACAACTACTACAAAGACCCATATTAACAAAACTATTTAACTTTTCTTGTCCTAATCCTCTTCTCAGTCCATGTCCGTTGCTTAGTCTTGGAATTTGTAGTGGAAAAAGGCTATTGTTAGCAAGTGTATATTTTAATCAGATTCTGGTGTACCCCGCAGTCTGAGAAAGGTCACACTGAAATACAGAGCCACTGTGAAATAAGTGCTTCTGATTTCTAGCCAGTTAAAGTAAGGATATTGTATGCACACAGCATGATCTCTTTATATTTTAAACGTGGTGCTGATCTTTAACATGAGGGGTGGTAAAGCTTTGTGGTTATAGATCGGAGCTGGTAAATGAAAGGTGGTGTGTGAACCCCACAAGGGATGATCCACTAACCATAACCATTGTGCTGGTGGGACTGTTTACTGTATGTTAAATCACTTTAGAGAAGTGCATCCCCTGAAAGAGTATTTTCTAAAATTGAGTTTAAGAATCATACAAACACAACATAGTAATTTAGCATTGCATCACTTGCTCACCAATGGATGCTCTGCAGTGAATGGGTGCCGTCAGAATGAGCGTCCAAACAGCTGATAAAAACATCACAATAATCCACAAGCAATCCACACCACTCCAGTCCATCTATTAACATGAGCTGAAAAGTGTTTATTTTGTCACTTCTGGCCACTGTTTTGGACTGCTTTCACTTGTAAACCGTGCTTGATATGTGCCGTTTTCTTTCTTGATTCAGACAAGATGACTTATGTGCAATATTATGGAATATTATATTTTAGATGGAAGCTATTTTTTTTTTACTAAAAAAACATGTTGGATTTGTTCACCGATTTTATATTTTTCTGTATTTTAATTACAGTTACTTCTGATGTAATTACATTAAACACTGTATATAGAACAATTCTATGTAAAACAAGAGTGTATTTAACATCTAAATGTAGCATCTAATGAAAATGTATATGTTTTTGATGTAAACTCCCTTTAAATACTTATGAAGTTCAAGAATAATTTATGAAATTAAATATGATTTATTCGAAAGAATTAAAAAAGCAGATTCATGTTTATCATTGTATTGCTCAACTGGTCGAGGTTGATATGGGATTTAAAGTGATTAGCAATTAGGGGAAGGCGTGGCCTAATGGTTAAGAGAGTCGGACTCGTAACCCAAAGGTTGTGGGTTCGAGTCTCGTACCGGCAGGGATTGTAGGTGGGGGGAGTGAATGTACAGCGCTCTCTCCCACCTTCAATACCACGACTGAGGTGCCCTTGAGCAAGGCACCGAACCCCAACTGCTCCCCGGGCGCCGCAGCATAAATGGCTGCCCACTGCTCCAGGTGTGTGTTCACTGCTGTGTGTGTGCACTTTGGATGGCACTAATTCCGAGTATGGTCACCATGTCACATCACTAATAATTTTATCAACTGTTTAGACTCGTGACAGAATCCATTTACTGCAAAGGATCAATTTCTCCAAATCTGTTGTCCAATGACAAACACATTTACATCTTGGATGGGTGTGCACATTTAAATTTTGTGGGTGAAATATTTCGTTAATTAATACATTTTATAAAATTACAGTTAAAACATATGACAACATGCCTTAAACAAACAAAAAGAAACAGTTCAACTAATATATTTAGTAGGTCAGACACCATATATTTAATATATATATATATATATATATATGTATGAAGAGATGTTAAAAACAGAGGGCATTAAACAAAATGTTTTGCTGAAACAGTGCAATCTTGATTATGTCAGCAAAACTGAAGTCATGTCAAGAGAAACTGCATGAACTGGGATGCCTCTCTTTGCCAGTTAGTCATAATGCATGAGTCTGTTTGAAAGAGGAATAAAGGTTGTCAGGAGAGTTTCCATAGAATAAAGCCCTTTGAAAGCAGACAAAAATTGGGAAATACTGAGAATGAAAAAAAATGCTGCGCAGCAAATTGCACAGTGCTTATTTAATGATAGATCCATTGAATCTCTGCATCAATAAGAGCAAACCAGCACAATTCATGATCACATGGCACATGGTTTGTAGAGGTAAAGTAAACAGGAGCATGCTGGCCATAATCACGTGCGCATTGTTATTCCCAAGATAACAGACTCAAGGATGCAGAGACAAAAATATACATTTAAAGCAAACAATGATGTGAGCGTGCTGTATGTGGATTGTCATATCCTTAACGACAGGTCACTGTATAAGCATAATTATAAAAATAACAATCATGCATACACAACATAAAGACATAGAAGCGGCAGTCAGAGCCAAGAAATAGATGCATACGAAATGAAAATGGTCATACACTTATGAATCCATAAGCAATGCCAGTTTGAGTTGAACTGATATCATGTCTTTATGAAGTGGTCGTGTCGATGATGCAGGGATGTGTGGATGAAAAGCGGCAGAACAGAGGTAACAGACTCACCACAGTGGCAGGAGAAACCATCTTTGTCTGCGGATCGGTCGTCGCTAACAGAGCACACGCTAGTATTTACGTCCCTTTGTATTTGAAATGTGTTTTTGTCTTGTGTTTGGGAAAATCCGCTGTGAAGTGACAAACAATGATGTGAGCGTGCTGTATGTGGATTGTCATATCCTTAACGACAGGTCACTGTATAAGCATAATTATAAAAAATAACAATCATGCATACACAACATAAAGACATAGAAGCGGCAGTCAGAGCCAAGAAATAGATGCATACGAAATGAAAATGGTCATACACTTATGAATCCATAAGCAATGCCAGTTTGAGTTGAACTGATATCATGTCTTTATGAAGTGGTCGTGTCGATGATGCAGGGATGTGTGGATGAAAAGCGGCAGAACAGAGGTAACAGACTCACCACAGTGGCAGGAGAAACCATCTTTGTCTGCGGATCGGTCGTCGCTAACAGAGCACACGCTAGTATTTACGTCCCTTTGTATTTGAAATGTGTTTTTGTCTTGTGTTTGGGAAAATCCGCTGTGAAGTGGGCGGAGCCTGCGGGTAAACACAAGCCCTGTCCAATCGGAATGCAGGAAGGTGATTACATCACGGCGATTGTGGCCGAGTGGGAGGGGTTTACCCGCGACATTTGCATACAGCGCTTTCAGTGCCCGTTTATTCCTTTTATCGCGTTTTTAATACGTTTTATTGTCAACATCTGTTTCTGATATATAATGCGAGTTCGATATAAACTGTAAAGGTTAACAAAATGATAGTGAGACGCGTAAACGGCATCTGAACTGCTTCTTGAATCTGTATCGACACCTTGTGGTAGCATTAAGTGAACAATATTGAGTCACTATGCTCACTGTTTTCCTAAAAAAGTCGTTAAAGGGACAGTTCACCCCAAAATGAAAATTGTGTCATGATGTACTCACCCTCACGTCGCTCCAAACCCGTACGAGTTGCTTTCTAATGTTGAACACAAAAGAAGATATTTAGAAGATTGTTACAGTCGGTGGTTGCCATTGACTTCCGTAGTAGGAACAAAAACACTGTGGAAGTCAATGGCAACCACCGACTGTGACACCATGATCACCGAATTTTCATTTTGGGGTGAACTGTCTCTTTAATATTACCTTAAAGTGGTTTTATTATAAATGTAATTTTATTTCTATGTAAATTTCACACTCATATATGCAAGTTTACAAAAGGCGAACCTCTTTTTATGGTGCTTGGGACAGTAAAGCAATTAAAACGATTAACACGTGCTCCTCCTTTAACACTTTCACATAATATATATATATAAAACACAATAATAATAATAATAATGGTGCTGACCTGCCAAGTATATTTTCTGTATTATAAAGTGCATTGTAATATCCTCTGGAGATGTAGATATATGTATAATATGCATTTCTCTGTAAACTGGTGTTTGTGTACCCTCTTTTTTCTTTCTCCCCTCCGTGTTCCTTCGTGTAGAGGCATGTGCAATGTTTTTGCTATATAGTGAGATATGACTGTACATGCTGCTTGTTGACAATAAAGCATTATATATATATATATATATGACCTTAAAGTACAAACTGATGTGTTGGTATTGCAAGCGTTGTTTATAATAAATATTTAGGATGCAAAAGAAAGATACGCGTGATTATTGTACTTGTGCTGAGAATGTATCGATATGATTTATGTTTCTTTTATTAGATTCTATTTAGCAGCGTCTATGATATATAAACACGGATGTGCATTTTTATATATTTTTTTTTGTTTAATTATGCTTCGCCTAGCTTATTTTCCTAGTGTTTTATTTTTATTTTTTGCATTTAAAAATCCCATCTGCTGTCTATAAAAAAGAAAGAAAAAGAAAATTTAATTAAAAAGCACTCGTCTTAACCGAGAAAGGTACAGTTCTAGCTAGTTGTGTTTAGCAACCTATCTGCCGTTATCTACAAAATATCTACAATTTTGGGTCTTGTTATGAAAGAAGAGAACGCGAGTCTTAAACAACCGGAAGTGGCAACGTGAACCGGATGAGGAGGGTTTGGTTGTTGTTTCTAGAACACAACACAGATCTTTCTCTCAAGAGGATTTTCTATGTTCGCGGTGTTTCGCCTCGCTTAATGACAACTTAGGGAAACTGGTCAGGTATCACTAAACGAATACATAACGGAACTTGTCTCTTATTAATCTGGGAAGCTCTCCGTAGTTTAAGGGTCTGAATGTACAGCAGCTGATGAGATATGGCGGACAGAAGCTGAAGGGAGTTGATTTCATCGAGGGTTTCCTCTTGGTTTGCTTCTCCTTCCTCCAGTACTCGGCTGGTTTTAACAGCAGGGCTGGTTTACAGGCACAAAGGCTGCCTGAGGTCAGTGTTTGTCTATTGGTACGTTAAGTGGGAACGTTAGCTGTTGCTATTAGCTAAGTAAGTGAGCTGTAGACAGCTAGGGATCATGGATTTCGACAACGTGCTGTCCATTGCCTCCCAAAACCAAGGCCTCAGCAGCATACCGGTATGTATGAGAAAAACACTTGAAAAAAATATTATGTATCGTCTTATTTATAACTTTGGAAGATCCAACTAGATGCACGTTGATGAATTCAAATGTTTTATTGTTGTAATGTGCCAAAATCGATCATGTTTTAGGGAAATATTAATTTAATTATGCTCACGTTTTGAGAAAAAGCCTCTTGTGTCATTTAAAGTGCTTGTAATGTCACATGCGCACGTTTGCATTTCTGTGGTGTTCCACCATGTCTGTATTTTATAGAAGCGGTACAGCCTGAAAACCGGTCCACCCAAGAAAGATGTCAAAATCAAGGGAGTAAATTCGTCTGCGGTGCAGGCCTTCTTGAAAAAACAGGCCATGGAGCAAAATAAAAAAGGTGCTTTTTTCCTCTTTAAACCTTGTTTGGCTGTACATAACATCTCCTAAATCGCATAGTCCATCCAAGTCATTGTTTACTTGCTGTCATGTCATTGCAAACCTGTAAGACTTATGCCGAGTTCACACGGCACGATTTTTCACTCGCCGACAGGTTTTGCGAAATCGCCGACAAACGCCCGAAATCGGAGGCAAATCGGTGCTCGTTCACGAGAGAGACAATCACGCTGGGTAATTTATCAAAGACACGATCTGAGGGAATCGCCGACACGTCGCCGACGCCTGTGAAATATTTGGCATGCTAAAATATCTGGAGCTGTCGGCGATTCACAATCACGCAGTGTACAATGATTTCTGACTGAAAATTAGAGGTCGACCGATAGTGAATTTTGCCGATACCGATAGCTAGGTTGGACCACACTGGCCGATACCGATTAATTAACCGATAGTTTTAAAATTGATACTGAACAAAAACTAAAATAGTGCTTTATTAACAAAAACAGTACTGAACCATACTAGTAGTAGTACTAGTAAAAAACTTTAAATAATAGTAAATGTTGAAATTAACACTCTAACAAGGAACAATACTTACACAGCTTTCATTAATCGTAATGCTACAACTGGACTCTTATTTTAAAGTGTTACCATTTCATTTCAATTGTCATGCTTAAAGATGCACATCTTTAAATATATACAGGCTATAGCATTAAAATTATATACATATGGATATTGTATGCATACTCTCATGCTTTGATTAACTAATTAAAATAAAAGCGCAGCGCTGAGTCTACGAGAACTCACCGGTATCACACACACTCCGGACGCGTCGCGTTCAACTCGAGCAGCGGTCTAAAACAGTTTATTTAATCACCAAACAGACAAAAGTTTACTTCAAGAATGAACAATTTGGCATGGACGAGTTTGAAGTTCGGTGTTTACAAAAACGGAGCAAACGGAAAGAGAGAGAGCGACCTATATTATAGATCTTTAAATGAAGCACACAGACTTTATTCGAGCCACAGAAAGACAAACGTTTTGCTGAAAATGCACAATACACAATTCATTATGTACATTAACAACGATTCGGGACCAATATAATGTAGTTTAAAGGAAAACTATGTGAATGGCGTTCTGTGGCGCGGCAGGATTTTCTGCGTCTGAAGTGTACCGCTCTGTCCAGCGTGCAGCATCACGTGTCTAAACAAATAGCACGTGCTGTCAGTGATTTCAACCACTAGAGGCCGTTCTCGCACTGTGTAATGACAGCAGACCCTTCTCAGCCGCTCCAGCAATGGACACAACCCGGAAAACTATCGGCATGGATTTTTGTCGATAACCGATTATTCCAGAAATCAACTATTGGTGCCGATTAATCGGCAAAACCGATACATCGGTCGACCTCTACTGAAAACTACATCGGCGATGACCTACAACCAATGAGAGACCAAGATACAGGGCAGAGGGAAGTTCGGGGAGGAGTTATAGACCAGAATATCAGTATTTTACTAGATATATGAACAATTATATCATACAGAAACAAGCACAAACATTTGCTTGACCAGCCACAACATCAGCATAACAGTTAATTATTTACCTCAAACTCTCTTTGCAGAACACCCAATCCCTGCATCTCCCTCCTGCATAATCTGTTTTTCTTTTTCTCCTTGTAGCTGGAAATCAGCTCACAGACAATTTGCGGGCTATATATATATATTTTTAATAATTACACTCTTGCTGGAGAACTCCAGTCTGACGCACGCTGGTTCTCGAGTTATTTCCTTATCACTTCTCGCGTGTGTTTTGTTGTGAACCGTTGTTTGCGGATCAGACAGAGCTGTCGGCGATTCTTCCTATTGTGAAGTCATGCAGTGTGAAACCCCGTCGCTGATCCATCGTGCAATGTGAACACAGCAGCAACTGAATGCTACCCCAGATAGTCACGCAGTGTGAAAACCACGGCGATCCGACGAGTTTGAAAATTGTGCAGTGTGAACTCGGCATAAGACCACAAAAGATAGCTCTTTTCCATATAATTAAAATGAAGGGGATGGATGCTGTCAAGATGATGAAAAGAACCTTAAGAGCACCATAAAGGCAGTCCATATGACTTATATTTAGACATGTCACATTCACATCAGGGTTGACCTCAACCACATAAAATGTCACAATTATTAAAAAGAGTAACCAACTGTTTGTACGCATTTTTAAACTGGAAAGTCATTTTGACTCTGTGTTCCAGTTTCTAGTTATCTTGACCCGGACTAGATTTCCTAGTTAAAGTTATCGCATTGGACTAAAACCTACTGACTTTGCATACACAGGGTACAGCAACTTCCCAAAACAACTGGATATTCTTTGTACTTTTTAGGACCTTGTTACATATGGGGGTGTCCCTGTCAAAAATTACAGGTCTGCAAGAATTGCTTGTAAATCTCTCATTATGCTCAAAAACCTTTTGAGTTTTTAGTGATCATTGTTAAAATTATCCCCACACACACAAAAAAAAACATGTGCATAAGCTCAGATCAGTGAAGTCATTATATATCAGTTCCAAAAAGAAATACAAAACCTGTGCTAAATGAAAGAAAACAAGTGGACAAAAAAAAATTCAATCCAAGATTTGGTGATAATAGAGCATAATGAAAGATTTATAAGCAAATTTGATCGTTTTTGACAGGGAACACTAAATTAGGTTTTAAGGTTTAAAAAATGATTTTTACAGTACAGCACACGGGTTAAATTATAAATGGTAATAAAGAAACCCTAAACCACAAATGTGTCACAAAACAAACATTTCATCATCTGAAGATAGTAATGTATTACTCTTTATTATTCTATAAGGGAGGTCTGTTTAACAGCAACAACTAATATTTTATCTAAATTAATATTTCAGTAAAAATTAATCCGTTGCTTTTCTCTGCTTTCGGTGGAGACACACTTCTAATATTTGCAGATAAAATTCAATCTAACGCAAAACATAAGTTAACACACTTTTCAATGCATTAAATGGCATACGCACCTGAAAGGGCAGCCCACACAAAACAATATGGTTATAAGCTTCTTAAAGGGTTAAAGTGCTCACATGTAGGTCATGCACTTTTTGCACTAAAGCGCTCTCGTCACCTCCGCCGTTTTTCAAAAGCAATTTTTTCCTTAGAAATGCTTATTTCACTTCTATAAAATGATCTATGAGCTCTATGCTGGTATATCATGTAACTCTAGCACACAAGTTGTATGGACCCTTTTTATAATATCTAATATTATTTATTTAGTTAGTCCTTTCAAACGCTCACAGTTCCAACAGCTCCTACACATTTGCCAGGATGTTTCTAGCAGTCCTGAAGACCTTGATTAGCTGGTTCAGGTGCGTTTAACTCTCCAAAGCTTGACATAAGAAATAGTGATCTGAAAAATCTATTCTTTTTAACTGAATGCAAACGTGTTTTTATTGAGTATAATATTTGATATATCAGGCCTGTATATTTTGATAGAGGGGAATGTTATACTTGAGGAGGAAAAACAGAGGAACTAAGTGACAATATGCAGTTGCTGATATTTATATGGCCAAAAAGTAAGATGAAATTCTGACAGCTTGTAATGTAAATCAGTGAGAAATTACTTAAACTTCAATGCATATAAATATCAATTGTTACTCAATATTATCCGGTAATATGTTTTGGTAAGATGATATTTGATTGGTTTTATGATTAAAGCTCTGAAGTTTTTATTGATTAAAGATGCTGTACAATGTTTTTCAGCAAAGTTTTGGTCATTTAGAAGCCTTAAAAGTGTTGTATTAAATAAAATACAGTAGGGTTAATTGGAGCTAAACTCTGCAAGATAGTGGCCTTACAGGGGCAGGATAAGACACCCCTTTAGCCTTAGGGATTTGCAAAGACATGAGGGTGAGAAAATAACCATGGCCCTTTTCACATATAATGCATATTTTGATGTTCCTCACGCTCTCTTTCTTAGAACTACAGAGTAAGAAAGCAAAAGAGGACCTGCTGGCCAAAAGAGTGGAGCTGAAATCAGATAGGAAGGCAAGAGCAATGGCTTCCCGAACTAAGGACAATTTCAGAGGTTACAATGGCGTCCCTGTCATAGACCAGCCCAAAAAAAGGCGGTCGAAGGGGGAGAGATCGGAAGAGCAGCAAACATCGAACACATATGATGATGATGATGATGATGAGTATGATGATGATGATGATGATGGTGATAATTACGGCTGTTAGGGAAATGATTCTGAATCTGAAGAACAAAGCATGCCTGTTAAGCCTCCGTCTCGGCCTGAGTTCTCAAACAAAGTCGACAGCAAACCGAAAAGACACAGTGCTCCAGCAAGGCCCCCTCCATCATCAATGAACTTTGCGGACCTCTTGAAACTTGCGGAAAAGAAGCAGTTTGAACCTGTTGAAATGAAAGTAGTGAAGAAGACCGAAGAGAGGCTTAGAACAGCCGAGGAGATTCGAGAACTCGAAATAGAGCGCAGAGTCAAGAATCAGGATAGAGGGAAAGAGGCCAAACCAGACAAGAATTCAGGACACAAAGACAGCCGATCCCAATCCAGCTCAAATTCACAAAAGAAGCATGTAGACCGAGATGGCAAAATTGGGAAATTGCCCAAGCCATCAGGGGAAAAGTACCAGTCAAGTAGTACCAGCAAAAAGCCAAAGCTTCAATCATCCAGTGAAAGAATTCCAAGTTCTGTCAAACTACACGGAGACAGAAACTCAGGCTCCTCAGGTGCCTTAAATGGTAAAGCTGCCATGAAGAACAGTGCTCCGTTTCAATTGAAACCAGCACCATCCAGACCCTCACAAGGCCAAAGGCCCACAACCTCAAGTGACCTTACCCCAAAGAAGGGGAATACCTCAGTACCTCAAGGGAAATCAAGTATTTTGGGAAGTCGTGCTGGAGTTGCTCCTGGTGCAGCTAGACCAAGTCAAGCACCACACAAAAACTCTGGGCAAGTTAGACCTAGTAACTCCGGTGGGCAACCTCAGAAACCAGCTAAACTAGGACATTTATCACGGCCTGGGAGCAACAGACTTGTACTTTTACCCTCTTCTGGTGACCCCTCAAAGCAACCAAGGCCAGGTGGTAGTTTGCCAGGTCAGCAGGTTCCTGGAAGCTCCAAGGCCACCATAAATGGACCAAGCAGGATGGGAAGTAATGTTTCTGGGAGACCGGTAAACATCATGGGCTCTGGCCCTGGAATATCTCAGTGCACTGTTGTTTCAGAGACTGTTTCATCAAAGAACTTTGCACCGAGACCTGGGATGGTTCCAAGACCTCCGGGACCTCAAGGCCCCAGGACATTGATTGGCCCCTCAGGCCACAGAGTCCTGGTTAAACCTCCTGGTAAGGGTTACGATAAGAACCTCTTAATGGCCAAGTGTTTCATGATTTGTGTTTGTTAATATATTATTAAGAGAACTGCTGTTTTGGCAGATGCCAGTCCCAAGAATTAACGTAATGTAATGAACCTTGCAACTGAAGTTAATGGGGCAATGCATTACACCATATTAAACATTATACACACAAACATTTTTAAAAATTCACTTAGAATTCTACAGGCAATAAATTCCTGATGGACAAAATCAAGTCCTTTTTAAAAAAAAATTTCTTGTGTGGGAGCCGTTTCACTTGGATATACGTCGTAGTAGACGTGAAAAGATGAAATTACTGTTTAATACATTTCTTGTACTTTTTTTTTTGTTTGTGTTTACAAACCAAGAAGACAAGTTGAAATTATTTAAGGTGGTAATCAACAGCCTGTTAAAGATATTATTAAAACAGTTACTGTGAAAGATCCGTTTTGCTTTGCAAAAGTTGATTGAATATTCCAACAGTTGGTTTGGCGAATCATCTATAAAACTAGGAATCATGTTTCTTGTTTGTTAGCAGGGTGTCTGCGGGGTCTTAAAAAGTATTAAAAGTTGATAAATCAATTTAGAGAAAATTAAGGCCCTTAAAAAGTCTTAAATGCCATTTTCCAAGGTATTAAATTTCATATCATCTTTTCATTATGTATATTTGTCCGAATAGTGGGGTTCTGTGTAGTTTATTTATGGAATCCCGCAAGATTTGACATAATCTGTTACAGCGCTCACTGACTGACTGCGCCGCTGCGTGGTAGCCAGGGCTTGTTGAGTCCACTCTCGCTGAATTTCTGACCATTACCGCATGCTCCCATCCGCTCCCGCAATTTTTGTGTCCGCTCACGCAAACATTCTAATATTGTATGTAATTTTCGCGCATCAGGGCGCCGCTATCAATATGTGGGGTTACTGGGGTATTTAAATCGCAGTCACAGTTCACTTTCGATTTCGCGCGCGCCCACTGTGTAAAGGGAGCACATCTTACGATAAAAGATATTTGTCAGTGAGCTCGGGATCTGCTGAGGAGCAAATTCTCCAACATCCTGTCAGTTATCTCTCCTTACTTTTGTCAAATCTGACTTCTGCAGCTGGTGTTGGATGCAGGGTTGTTGTTAGTTTTTTCCACGAAATTGGGCTGCTTTTAAACTGTTGCCATGGGTTGATTTTCCCCAGTGGGTTAAAAGTTTGAAATATTGCATAAATTACATTTGGTTGAAATGCTTGTACTGAAACATTTTGCATTCTACCTGTAATACAACTGTGCTAAATGTTTTGGGCCACACTAGTAGGAAGCATTTGAGCTAGTCACTCAATTAATTCTCTTGTGAATCGTTCCCCCCTTCTGAATTATGTTGTATTTATAAGGAGTTATCACAAAGTAAGTCTGTTTAGTTGTGCTATCTTACAATCAATATATAGCAAATGTAAGTTAAAGTGTCACCGATGTAACCGGTTAAAACTTGGAGTGGCGATGAGGTCTTAAAATGTATGGAAAGAGTCTTAAAAAAGGTCTTGAAAGGTATTACATTTAAATCCATGATTCCTGTATATATCCTGGTTAGGCATATTAGGTATGTTTACATGCATATACAGTATGTCGTCGTTTGGAATGAATTCATTAAGACTTCAGGTTCTGAAAGTTTCGTACATGTACATTACATGTATTCCGAACACAACTTTAACGGAAGCGTAGTTGCTGTGTCTGGAAGTCACTGTAAGAATAACTGAAACCAAACATGGTAGTTGTGTAAATACATTCATAAAGGCATCTTATAATCCGATTGAGAATATCTTCTGATTCATGCGTTTATATGTGCTCATGGTTTTCCCATTGATCATATTATTTTAGGTCTGTGCCCCCCCATCCAATCGGATTAAAATTTCATTTGGATTAAACTCACTTGAATCGATTGAGCTTGACATGGTTTTCTGATTGAACCGTTCATCTGATTACTAACTGATTATTTGGTTGCATGTAAACGTAGTTACTTTGAAATTTATGGAACAAGCAGAATTCATTAGTGTGAATCGATTCTTGTGTTGTTTATTGCTCCAAGTACTTGGTATTGAATTTGCATTATAATGAGCTTGATTTGCACATGTATTCATTCATGTTCTATAAACAAGGACATTTGTTTTTCATTTGTAATCAGTAGCAACACTAATGCCTCATGTGTAATATTACATGTTTTTAAATTGTATCCCCTCTACTCCTGCTATTTTTGAAGGACCAGTGTTGCCCCCCATAACATCCAATTATAAACGAAAGTATGAGGATGAGGAAGAGTATGACTCTGAGATGGATGACTTCATCGACGATGGAGGAGGAGAACAAGATGAAATTTCAAAACATATCAGGGAAATCTTTGGCTATGACAGGACCAAGTGAGTTTTTGCGCAGTTTAAGATTACTATAAAATATCCTTGGACTTGGAAAAGATCTTGCAATTTATAGGTGACGTTTACTCCCAGTGTTTGCATACTTGCATAGAATGTTTCTAGCCTTAAAATACAAGGATTGTTTACCTACTTTGTGTAAAAATGGTCTTTCGTTTCAACAGATATAAAGATGAAAGTGAATATGCACTGAAATTTATGGAGAGCACCTGGAAAGAACAGCAGAAAGAGGAAGCGAGGAGGTATGAATTCAGCTGCAAACTACGAGTGGGTCAATAGTAGTTCTGACAAACTGAAATCATCCCATTGTTGCCTTCTTTTCTGTGTGTTTTCTGTTTTGCCTTGCCCCTGATTGTCTTATTAGCCTGCGAATGGCAGTGCTTGAGGACCAGGAGGAAAGACGAGAACTTGAGGAGTAGGGTTGGATACCGAACTCGGTACTTTTAAGGGTACCGACCGAATTGCGTCGATACTACCGAGTACCGATTCACGTTAAATCAATCGGTGCCAAATTTCGTTACCTGAGAACGCATCTGAGACGCAAGAGAGACCCTGTGACAAGAGGTCATCCCTGCAACTCGTTCGAACAACACACAGGGCAAGCCGAAATGTTCTGAAGTGTGGTTACATTTCTAGGGCCATATGGTTTCTGCGAAAACGCGGACGGGATCGTGGAGTCCATTCATAAAAACGTAATTTACTCTATAATGCGGAATTCGTCAATTTTGGACGAATAAATCAAAAGTAGCCACTGTCTGCCACTTAATTCGAATCGCGATATGAACTAGTGTCTGTGAATATTAAAATGCAAAAAGACGGTTTAAATATGAATCCTGCATGTTCCGCTTGCCTCTGTATGTATGAATGGCGGAAACGCGGTTTTGTTTACTACACAAATACTGAAGCACGCGTGACGCTCGCGGTGATTTTCGGCCTCTGCGTCTCACTATATGATGGCATGAACACAACTTAATCTCCAGAGCTACTGTGAGAGTCACTTCGCGAGAATTTTACTGTTTCATTTGAGAAAACGAGCATCATCATACTGTATACACACAGAAACTTCATGGCAACCTGTCAAAATAAAAGTACGGTTTAGCATGTAACAGAAATGTATTACTCTTGTATTACTTTTGTACAGTATAATGTACATATTTAAATATTCCATTTTCTATCAAATTTAAATAAAACAATTAAATGATAAAAACAAATTACAACCAGATTAATCACTTAATTGTAGAAAAAAAAATACAATTATTAGCCTATTAAAAAATGTTTTAAAGGAATATTCACACAATTTTTCTTCCATGTATTAATTTCAACAGTAAACCTCAGTTTGTTTGCCAAAAAATAAAATAGTTTAATTTTCATTTGATTTAAAATAAATGTTTAATGCCTTCATTTGATTTTCAGAAAAATTAAAACAAGAATTTCTGGGAGAAAAAAAGAAAGAAAGAAAGAAAGTTTGTAGGACTCTATTGTTCAAAATGTTGAAATTGAAACTTTTTGACTTATTTTCACTGAAATAAATGTTTTTGTAATTACACAAAGTAAAGTACCGAAAAAAGGTACCGTTGGGTACCAGCACCAAAATTCAGGTACCGGTACCGTACCGGTTAAAATGTGAACGGTACCCAACCCGATTGAGGAGATGAGGCGGAAGAATGCCAAGAAGAGGAAATGATTGTGTTTCCGACAGACTGAAATAAAATGCTTCTCTCCATTTTCGCAGAGGACCAGTGAAAATTACGTTCCTTAATGACACCTGTTTTTGTTTCTGCCTCAGTTTACGCCTGGGCATCAAGGAGGATGAAGAGGACATCCGTATGGAGGAGGAGGAGATGAAAAGAAAACTAGGGATGAAAGCAAAGCAGAAAAAGATTTAGTTTACCTTACTTGACTTTGATATAGTCTTATTTGGTTGGGAGGAACCGAGTGGAATGGAAATGCCTTCCTTGTGCCGCTGACATTGTTACACTATTTATTTGAATGCCCAAGCCATGGGAGCAGGATTGCACTATCAAGAGCCCATCTGACATAGCTGATCTTCGGAGAAAATAATATATGAAATTAATATCTGAGAATCACGATAGCATTTTTTGTATCTCTAGAAACCATGAAAGTATATCTATGTGGATGCCTTACTCGAGCACCAAGTTCCAGATTGGTCCTGATTTAAGGAGAGTTAGTTAATAAGTGTATAAGACTGCCATGTACTTTTTGTTAAAGTGATTTTTGACCGATTCTGTTGTCCTGTCATTTGTTAATTCTGTGTCGTCGCTGTAATGGTGGATCTGGTTCCATAAACCTGGAAGTGAAAATGAGTTGCCTTTAGCTTGGATGAAACCCAAGTATTTACTTTGTGCTTTGGAACACACTGGTTGCACTGCACAACGTATGTTTGAAATGCAAATGACATTATTCACATTTCAACATCATCTAGAAACAAGTCAACATTGTAACATGGCAATACCATGGTATTGTGTGAAAAATCTTGGAAGTACTTATGGTAACAATAACGCATCAATTGGACAACACAGTACAACACAACACACCTTTCCTACCCAGATCGCACACGCACATCTGCAAGATGTCTGTTAAAGATCACTTCATCTGGAAAGCATCTGCTGTGTACAAACATCTGTCAGACGTCTTTAAGATGTTAGTTTTACTTACATTCTAAATAATAAATGTCTATTTGACATCTGATAGGAAACGTAAATGCAGACGTCAAATAGATGTCTCTGTGATGTATGTGTGCTATCAGGGTAATTACTGTACCTCTTGCTGGTTTTGTCACTGGACCAGAGTAAATGGTCTCATCTCTTTATTATCCACTTCAAAGCAAGGCGCATATGATATTTCACACAGCGTTTGGCTGCTTTGTTACTTCCATCTTAGCTAACAGTCGTGGTAAATTTTTACATAAGGTCAGGTAGCTTATGAACTAATTTATGAATAAATGAGCCCCTTTATGGACCATGTCCTCATAGTACGGTTCTTTGCTCATGGGCAGATACGGATAGGCTGCATTGTTTGATGGTTAGTTGATTGGGATAGGGTTTGGGCTGATCTAGCAGCATTAGGCCTACTTAACTTGTACCCACAACACAAAATCACATTGAAAACACAGATATTAGTATTTTAATGTTCACAAAACAACTAATTAGAATCAGAATCCAAAACTTCCCATGTGTTAATCATTTTGCACATTGTTGGACCTATTAAAAATACATACCTACGTTTTATTACATTTAAATAATATACAATTTTGGTAGTGTTGGGTTGCCACTTGATCACTAATGTGAAAACCATCCTTAAAGCCAGTATAGATATACACTCCATAGAGATGTGCAGGGATACAAAATAGCGTCGTGTATTAAAAATCGTTGCTGTCTAAAAAAGAACAAATTACACAAAAGCATTCATGAAGTGGAAGTTATGTCACATATTGGTTTCCATATTTAATACAATTTCCCAGGTTCTTCTTATATTACCTTTTTTTTCTGGCTGACTATATGACAACATCAGGGCTGAATTGGTAATTGGCATATCGGGCATTTTCTCGGTGGGCCGACAGAATGTTTTTTTGTTTGTTTTTTGCCAAGGACCAACACGCAGGGACAGCGAGCAGCCAGTGGCCCATTGGTTTGTCTCCTGTATTGACAGCGTAAACCACCCAGTCACAATGCGCTATAGACGGAGCCATGAAGTATTTTGCTCTGCCTATATAAAGACCACTTCACCCCAACTTCTTCCTCGTCGGCTTTTCCCATGTTTACACAGCAGCTTTGCCACTTGGTAATATTATTAGGAAATACGGGATTAGTTTCCACTGTTATGCCGATGATCCTCAACTATATATCTCAACAAGACCAGATGAAACTTCTAAATTATCTAAGCTAACGGAGTGTGTTAAAAATGTAAAAGAATGGATGACCAATAATTTTCTCCTATTAAATTCGGATAAGACACAGATATTACTTATTGGACCAAAAGACAGTACGCCGAATCTCGTGGATTACAATTTACAACTAGACGGATGCACGGTTACTTCCTCTACAGTCAAAAATCTGGGTGTTATAAGTCAAGTGTGTTCACAGAGGTTTCCATAAGCCAATGCAAATAAATCTAGATTGAAATAAAAATTGTCGATAAAACGATTTAAACGATATTGTCGGACCTGATGTTTTATTCGTATCTAAAACAACTAGATGCAATGATCTACAATACCAGTTAAAAAAATTTGCACAGTAAGATTTTTATTTTTTTTTAAGAATTCTCTTCTGCTCACCAAGCCTGCATTTATTTGACCCAAAGTACAGCAAAGGCAGTAATACTGTAAAATATTTTTACTATTTAAAATAACTGCTTTCTATTTGAATATCTGTTAAACTGTAATTTATTCCTGAGATCAAAGCTGAATTTTCAGCATCGTTACTCCAGTCTTCACATGATCTTCAGAAATCATTCTGATATGCTGATTTGCTGCTCAAGAAAATTTCTGATTATTATTAATATTATTATCAATATTTAAAACAGCTGAGTACATTTTTTTCAGGATTCTTTGATGAATAGAAATATCCAAATATCAGCATTTTACTGAAATAAAAAGCTAAATTGGCCAAAAATGATGATAAAGACATTTATAATGTTACAAAAGATTTCTATTTCAGATAAATGCTGTTCTTCTGAACTTTCTATTCATCAAAGAAACCTGAAAAAAATCTACTCCACTGTTTTCAACATAATAATAATCAGAAATGTTTCTTAAGCAGCAAATCAGCATATCAGAATGATTTCTGAAGGATCATGTGACACTGAAGACTGGAGTAATGACGCTGAAAATTAAACTTTGATCACAGCAATAAATTACATTTTAACATATATTAAAATAGAAAACAGTTATTTTAAAAAGTAAAAATATTTCACAGTATTACTGCTTTTGCTGTATTTTGGATTAAATAAATGCAGGCTTGGTGAGCAGAAGAGACTTCTTTAAAAAACATGAAAGATCTTACTGTTCAAAAACTTTTGACTGGTAGTGTATATCATATATATATGGTGGTGGGCCGCCTGGACCAAAAAATGTCAGGGCCGATTTTTTTGTCCCAGTCCAGCCCTGGACAACTTCATTCCACCGTTTTATTCTTTTGCTGTTAATCCATTTTTTAAAATGCGATGAGTTTTCTTTAAAGGTCTCTTTTACCTATAATAAATGATAAAAAATTATGAATAAATGTGCTAAAAATGAAACATGAATGTGTGTGTGTGTGTGAGTGAGTGAGTG